GCAAAAAGAAGTTGCTAAAACAATTTCAACATATAGTTGCTCAGTCCCCATGAGTATATGTCTTTTTGTCACCAAGTGGGTAAACGTTTTGATGCTGAAGGGTTAGAAAAGTTCATAGCCAAGTCAAAAAATAAGTAACGACTCTAGGAAGGGCATCGGGTGGTGAAATCAAAAGAATAGTCACTGTTATGCCTCCCCTCTATTCTTATTAAAATATAAACAGAGGAATTCATCAAATGAGCTGTGCTCAACACTTTCATTCATTATCTCCTCTAATCTGCAGCAATTCTATGGGGTGACCATTGGCTTCCCTATTTATGGAGGAGGGAGCTAAGATCAGAGCAGCGACTTGAAGCAAGGCTTACCAACACAGGGTTCTCCTCATGTTTGCACCACTGTGAGGTGGTCACTGAGTTGAGAAACTCAATACGGACCCAGTGAAGGCCCTGGGAGAGTGAGAAGCTAAATAGATGGGGAGAGAAGTTTCCAGAGAACAACGCTTTCCAAAGATGCCCGAGGATTTCTGCAAAAGGACCAGAGGAGAAGCACGGCTCAGTTACACGGCTTCTTTAGTATGCCCAATGCATGCGAGAGGCTGGGGAATAAGCAAAATGACTATGCATTTCCAAAACCAGGGGTGCGGTTGGCATAATTGGGAAAAGGATGTAAGTGGGAGAAGGAAGGACATGTCGGAGTCTGGACTTTTTGCCTCATTAGGAAAGGACACCACGCTGCCTACCCCACTGGACACTAAGGTTGGTGAAGGGAGAGACTGCTTCCAGCTCCCCTGCAGTATCTAACATGTTGGCAAAGCAAAGACATAACTTCCAGGAAGCTCCTTCACCAGGTCTGGTCGTGCACCTCTGTAAACCTAGCTCTTGGAAGGCTGAGGCCCGAGGACTGGCTTGAGTTCAAAGCCAGCCTAGGCTGCATGGTGAGTTCAAAGCCAGCCTGGACTACACATAAAGTCCTGTCTTAAAAACAAGCAAACAAAGTTAACTAGACTTTCCTTAACCTTTCCAAAATGAATGCACTAATTTTTAACAATTACTTCTTTTGAGTGCAGGGTACAGACCCAGGTTCAGCCACTTAATTTCAAAGTAGAATACAGTTTTAAAAGACTTTTTCTTGTTACGGAAAGAAAATTCTACCTAAGAAAATTCGATCAATTGTACGCTCTGCTGGAACTCTGCTGGAAGGGTTATTACAGCAAGGCAACGGCCCAAGTGGGCTCAAGCAAATCATTTTTATAAATGTGAAATTAGTTTATTGCATTTTATAGCTTTTCATCTAATTTGCAAGTGTGACTTTTTAAATTTAGAAGAGGAGGCCTAAATGGTCCCGGTAATCTGAGGAGCCGCCGCCAGGAGGATGAAAAGAGGCTGCTGTGTGGCGCTCGGGGAGCCTCTCCGAAGCGCGCTCTGGGCGTCCTCTCTGCTCTCATTAAATCGAGTTCCAAGGACCAAAAGAACCAAGACCTACGCCGAAGGCAAGGACACGCGTTGTTTACTGCACCTCTGCCAGCCTTGAGCTCGCCACCAGGCCGGTTGCCGGCTCACAGGTCACAAGAACAATAATCCTGTTTTCACTCTCCCGAGTCTCCATCGGGGCCACCAGGGAGCAGCAGAAGCCTAAGTCCTTCACCTGGCTGCTTCCAGTCAGATGCTTGCTAGGAAATGAAGGGGCCGCTATTAGGAAAGGGAAGAAGCAAGGAAAACCACCAGGACAGCAGCATCACCTCCGCGTGGCTCTACGTGAGCAGGACCTGCCTCTTTGGTTCTCTTCCCAGAACAGCAGTTCAAGACCCAGGAAGGGTAAGAGAGGAATTTGTTCCCACTCACACAGCTTGTTCAGAACAGGTCTGGGAGAGCGGCGGCCTGGCCTGAATCCCGACTTTACTGCCTGTGAGCTGTGTGACCTCGCAGGAGCTGTACGGACTGCTCCATGGCCCATTTCTCCACCTCTGCAGTGCAGCTCGGGGTGAGCTCAAGGTTGTGGGGATCAGATGAGAGAGCGCCGGCAAGAGCAAGGACTGCCCCTGGCACGTGGCACCAAAACTGCTGCTGTTCCACCGGTAAAAGCTTTCAGGGCTCACACAGGCATATCCAGTTCTACTACAGGGGCAATAAAAACACGGTAAGTATTTGAATTTTTTAAATTATTGCAGTGAAAGGTACATTATCACTAACTCTGCTCGGAACGCTCCCCCTTGCTTCCAACACGCTTATCCCATAATTCTTTTCCCCGTATTTTTCTTTTACTTTTTGTACCAAAAATCAAATTCAGGACCTTGCACTTGCCAAGCAGGTGCTTGTGCCACTGAGGCGTACCACCCACTCCTACCCATAATTCTTGCTGCTTTCTGAAGCAGTTCTAGAAGTGCTCTTTTATGAGTCTCTTTACAAGATGTGGTCAAAAACACGGTGAATGCGCCTACTGAGTCTCATCCAACCCAAAGCCAGCCTCCTAGAAATACTGCAGCGCTTCCCTATCACAGGCCCGGCGCGCTGGTGCTTCCGGCTCTTCCCCGACGACAGCGAAAGATGAATGTCTGACTGTACATGGGACTCTGAGGCTGCCCCAAGGACACAGCTAACGGCACTCACGGAAGAGGACTTCCGGAGCTGCTTGGAAAGAGGCAAGACCGGCGCGATGAGTGTGCTCAGATCAAGGAGAGACTTTAAGAGGGGCGAACGACAATGTTTCTTTTACTTTAATAAATTTTTAAATTTTTTACATTCACCATAGGTTTTCACCACAACTCACACATTTTTAAATGCCAGAAAGCAATGTGCTGAAATTCCAGGTGTCCTAGAATGAATCACTTACAAGCCCAGCTATTTCTCTGGTCATGGAAAGATGTCAAGGGTATGTAGATGTAAACTGTGTATGTGATATTTTAAGCAAAATAATAATAATAATAATAATAATAATAAAATAAAAAAATTGAGGGACAAAGTAGCCTGTGTGGGAGAGGCTGGGCGGGCTTCCTGTCCAAAAGCACTGCAACTTTGCCCCTGCTAAGGTTGTTCTGGGAACAGGTGCTGATCGGTCTACTCTACAAATGAGTGAAACAAACCTCAGAAAAGTTAAAAGATTTCCTGAAGTTCTGCAGCTGCTGAGTGGCAAAGCCAGCCCTCCGTCATCCTAACCCACTTCAAGACATTTCCTATAAAACAAATTATTGAGCAAAGCTAAAGCTGGGCTTTCCCCCTTTCCTTTCTTTCTTATTCAAAAAAGAAAAAAATCTTTTTTTTTTCTTCATCTTCACTTTTCTCTCTGCAAAGTTTAGCAAACTGCCAAGTTCTCTAAAATCTACCATCTGCCGAGACTCACAGGCTGAAAGGGAGAAGAGTTTACTGGTAAGGACCCTGGGAAGGGGCACAAGCACTGTTGAATTCTCATTCAACCACGAAGACAGTATTTAACAAGCAAGAAGCTTAATAATATATATTCTCATTTGTTTCTGTTTATAAAGTGGAGGAATAGCTTTTACCTCCTAGATGTCTGATGACAATTTCATGTCAGAGCCTAGTGTAACATAGGTTACAATCACTCAGTGACATTCACTGTTAACTTTGGCCAAAAACTCGCAGCCTAACTCACACTGCATTCCTCTGGTCTGACCAAACAAGGCATCTTCCCAGAAGTACTGTATATATATTCTCTTGTCAAGTATTCAGTGCTTGACCAATGTCACAATCTGGAAATCAGACTGTTCTATCATTGTTCTTGCTTTCTTTAAAAATTGTATGGCTGGGGAGATAGCTCAGCTGTCTAAGTGCCTGCCTGGCAAGCACAAGGACCCAAGTTATATCCCTGGTATGGCATGCTGTGCCATCCCCATGTCGTGCAGGTCACTGAAGCTGGGCATGATGGTACATGCCTATAATCCAAGTACGGGGGAAGCTGAAACAGGAGGATCACCACGAGTCTGAGCTGTGTAGTGAGACCCTGTATCCAATTAAAAATGATAATAAAATATAAAATAAAAATTGCAACATTCTGATCTCAGGGGGGAAAAAACTACAGATGAAATGGCTGCATATACTTTTTCTGGTAAAGTTCATGAACATCTCAAATTTCTGCTGTGCAAAGCTGTCTAAGTCCAGGAATTTCACCGCTGTCCTTAAGACATTTTTGCTTCTCCATCTTTCCTCAGGTAACAGACAGGAAGGAGTCCTTTGCATCCTCAGGTTGCTATGGTGATAAATGCAGGTGTCTTGTCCCAACACTGTGCATGCTGTGCACTGTATTTTCAAAGCACATTTGCTGGCTAACCTTGTTGACCTTAAAACAACTGGGTGAGGAAGAGAGAGCAGGTACTATCCCCTCCCAAAGGATGAGGAAACCATAGCAGGAAGGAAGGAATGACAGTGACCACCATTGCTAAGTGTGACTGTGTCCCAGGTCTTCTTTATCACCTTGAATTTCTTAGTTGCATCCACTAGTAGGTATTACTCATTCAATCTGCAAGTGAACAAAAAGGGACTCAGAGAAGCAGGTCCTGATAGTGATAGGGGAGGTCAGACTCAAGTTTATCCCTATCTTACTAATGAGCAAGTTCGATAACTGACTTATCAAAGCTTTGCTGAAGCCATTAGTGACCAGTATGATGGCAAAATCTGCTGATTCATAACCCTGGGCACCTTTCATTAAACTGTTCACTCAGCCCTTCTCGGTTTGATAATGGTGTACTCACTGGTGACTAAGAAAGTCCTTGCTCACACAGAACAAGTCCTTGCTCCTGGCCTGGAAGGTTCTAGAGGGTTCTTCAACATTTGAGAGTTGCATGTGGAGAAAACTGAAAGAAAAATTACAGTGGGAGTTTCTTGCTTTTCCTTAGGTGTCCAGTCCTTGTGACCAAGGTGTGTGCTCACATCTGAGTCGCAAGGCACAGTCACGTGCTGTATTTCAACCACATTCCCCCTCTCCTGGGAAGAATGGGCTCAGGTTTCTATTTAAGCTGCTCTCTTCTCTCTCATTTTCTGTTTTAAAAGGAGATGATGGTGAAAGAGGAGATCCAGGAGAAGAGGGAAAAGATGGCAAGGTGGGCCGCAGGGGGCCGAAAGGTGAGTAAGCCGATGTGAAACTGACCCAGTCCCTCAGAGACGTTGCTGTCTTTCTCCTCTCTTTTGCCCTGGAAACTAGCAATTCATGAAGCCCTCTGGCCCTGAGACCCATGATGTGTACTTCTGACGCGAATTCACTCCCACCTGAGAGCACCTACCAACTTTGCTAGCAACAAAGTTTGGACATATTTCTCAAGCTACGTTCTTAGGCCTGGCCAGAGGGGGCGCTCTGCAGACGCAGAGTTCAAGTCTAAGAATGTCTAAGAAATAATGGATTTTAAGAACTGCTGTTCTCCCCTTAGAAGCTGTAGTTCAATAAGTTTGTTTGGCCTGGGGCTTAAAGAGAAAGATAAAAAGAAACAGAGATATTTCCTTAACTGTTAATGGAGTCACCTTCCCACGGTGTGGCTCTGCTTCTTTACCGCCTCTTATAAAAATGGGTAACGTGGAACAGATGGAGGGATACAGAGCGGGTAGGGGCAGAGGAGATGCGGTTAGCACGTTAGCGACTGGGGAAGTTTTCACTAAGAAGGCCAAGACTAAGCCTCATTAAAATGTAGCTTCCGGTATAGATCTGTGTTTTCTGAACACCTGAGTGGTTCCCAGTCGATAACTTCAAGATAGTTGCCCTATGCACACACAGGAAAACTTGGTAAATTTTACTGCTGATATCTGCTGGTATGCTGGAAAAAATAAGTTAATGCTCAATTTTTTTCTCTCTGCTTTTTAATTTTTTTCATAATTTTTGCCCAATTTTGCATGCTGCTATCTGGAAATATGAGCAACTAATTTGAAAACAATATGCAATGTAATGATATGCATTGTTGAATTCCTATACTTTTGTTCAGTGAGATTCTGTATCATCTTTAATTTGTTTTGCTACACTTTTATTCTCTTTGTTAAAAAAAAAAAGATAGCTGCCCTAAACCACTTGTTTTAAAATATTGAGGTAATTTAAAGGGAACAAAAGACTCACTGGGACTTGAGGCCTCAATTTGAGAACCACTGGTTTACATTTCTCAAATTCTAAAAAGATGTGTGTTAATTGCAAAATTATTCTCACAAAAATAAAGCTTGACAACTGGTAAGTGTTTTTCTATTAGCATATTTAGTAAGTAAGTAAATAAATAAATAAATGCTAATTTTAGAGAATTCATTTGTCCCTGATCATATGTTTTGGGATGAACAGCTCAAGGTAATGTCTAACATCTCTTTGATCAGCGAGCCTTCCACATCCCTTCCCTCATTGGAAGTGGTTAAGATGACCAGATCTTGTTTTAAAAGACAGAAAAAAACAGAGAAACAGAATCCCAAAGCAAAACGAAATGTTCTCCTGAATAAAGTACAAGAATCCTTCCACTCTGTCTCTTGCTTAAGTTATAAATTAAGCATAGACCACTGTGATCATTCTAGCAATAACTGCATCAGTGAGTATTTTCATATAATTATGTCCAGAATTGTCATAATTACCTGTGATTTATTTAATATAAATTACAATTGTTAAAATAGATAGCATACCATAGGGGGGTATACTAGACATAACAGGTAGCATATATTTTTTGCTATTTCCTTTGAGTCAATATCATGTTTGCTACATTTTGAAAAACAAAAAAAAGTTTATGATCTAAAAATGTCACAATTTGCTTTTCAGGAATTAAAGGAGAATTGGGTGACGTAGGACCCCAGGGCAACATTGGCAAATCTGGGCCCATTGGCAGGAAGGGTAAGCTGTATTTTACTGTTTGCCAGTTTCAAATGAAGGCAAATTGAACATGCCCTTAATACACTTTTAAAGTTCTGTGTGATGAAAGTGCTCCATTTCTTTCCTTTAAAAGACAAGTCCACTGGGTATGCACAGCGTGGCTCTTCCACAAGTGATGTATCTCACAGTTTCAAAAGAGAAAAGCCTTGGGCAAAATTAAACAAGAGTTCAGGCACAGAATCAAAAAGAAAGTGTGGTAATCCATACCCTGAACTCTGTATCAGGATCTATTAGTAGATACTAATCCTTGACATAATAAAATTATGATGATTCATAAAATACAAAGCAGGCAGAAAAGTAAATTGTCCTTTCATAATTTGAATGGAGTAACGAATAGTTCTTTTCCTGTGAGCTATTAACCAGATAAGAACAGGAAGCATATGTGTGCACATTGGTTTGTTTTCAGGCTTCTCTGATTCCATTCATATTACAGCCTCAATATTAGAAAGCAAAGATAGTCTCTTTGTTAACTAAGCTCTCCTCCTCTACTCTCTTCTCAAAAGCTCCACGTTGATAGCAGGCTCTAACTGCGTCTGATACACAGTAATTCATACATACAGGCATTGTCTCATGTGGTCAGGAGATAAAATGCTGGATGAGGATGAAGTTTTTATTGCAAATAAAATTTTCTCGAGGTACAATAATACTGAATAACATGATTCTATGCAACAGTAAGACATGAGAGAGACATTATGGACATGATATACAATGGAGTAGGTCTTGAAGAAAGGTAACGCGTGTGGAAATGGGGGAAGGCCATGAAGGGAGATGCAGGAATGAGTCGTACAAAGGCCTTGTGTCAGTGGCACTTAACTGTCAGCCCAGTTGGCTGGGGAGCCACCTTCAGGAATGGTGAAGCACACCTCTGGGCGTGTCTGGGTAGCCATGGAATCAAGTGCGTGGGTGCTGCATGCAGTCCCTCGGCTGGGACACTGTTCCCTGCTCTGCTTCTGGGCCACTGTGCCTTGCTTTGCCTTTCCACCATGTTGCTTCTGCTTGGAGCCCATGGATGTTGGAGGAAACTCAAAGCTATGTATATTGTGTGTCTTCAGCCTTTCATAAACACATGGGCCTTATAGAATTAAAGGAGCTCATGAAAGATCGCAGGGGGTGTGTGTGTGTGTGTGTGTGTGTGTGTGTGTGTGTGTGTGGTATATTTTAAATGTATTTGGTTGTTGCTGAGTCTCACTACACAACTCAGACTCAGAGTGATCCTCCTGTTTTCAGCCTCTACAGTTCTGGGATTACAGCCATGCCTCACCATGCCCAGACTGTGGTGGCCCAGGCCGTCCTGGGAACAGGGCTGGCGGACGTGTGGTGCAGGGATCGAACTGCAGTCCTTGTGCTTGCCTTGCCTTAAGCTGGCCTATGCAGGCTCTCTAGTCAGCTAGGCTATCGCACCAGCCCCCGCACGTGTTCTCTAGGTAGCTGGAGTTGGGGTGAGGCTGTGGCCTCTCTTCTCATCCTCTGGCCTGATACTCCCTCTATCTGCACTTGATGGCAAGGCTGGAGGGCAGTACTATAAAAAAGAATCTGTGATGGTAACGTGGGATCGAGTGACTTCTACCACACACGCACTTGAAATAGAAATCTCCGCCGCTGCTGGAGAGCGGCAAGGCCCCTCCTGGTTCGTGAGTCCTGCTAGAGCTGTGCGGTGGAGTTTTCCCCTCAGGCTCCTGAGGTTTGGGCTTCAGAGCCTCTCATTTACCTGGGCCCTTCCCAAGCCCCAGAGAGAAACCTTAGCTGTGGGTTCTCACGGCTTCACCTAGTGAGGAAGAAGACCTTCTCCCCCCCACCCCCCGGCTAAATAGTGCATCTCTCACTTTATGAAAATGTCCTTCCAACAGTCCTTTTAGATGTATTTTCTCTAATTGTTACTCAGTGAAATTTTAATAACATCCCTGGACTGTTGATTTATATGAGGTGTGTTTATGATTTATATGTTTTTAAAAGTGATTTATTACCACCCTCAAAGAATGAGAGTGTGCAGCCTTGAGGTGGTATCACCCGCGGAGAAAGCACAGGTCAGCGCTGCACGGCCTTCTGCTTCAGCTTCCTGCCATCATCCTTGCCTCCGGTGGCTTTGGAGTGGGTACAAGTATTTGGGAAGCTAACTAAGATGAGCTCGAGTGAGAAAATACTTATCTTGGACTTAATGAGATGTGTTTTTGTAGTTTGAAGTTACTTCCACATGCGGTTAAGTTCTTGCTAACAACCCTAATGTAGAAATCACATCCAACAATGCTCACCACTTGCTGAGCAGATCTGCCCACAGTCATGACATGAAAGCGCTGGGGTGCAGATCAGACCATCATCTGAACATGTGCTGGGTCACCCCGCTCAGAAAGGTGCGGCTTGCGGGAAAGAAACAATGTTTGAAAAATACGGGGCCAGAGCCAGGCTTTGGAAAGCTCTTCTTCAAGTTTAATAAACTATATATGAGTAAAAGAGAAAATAAAATCTGAAAGGTACAATAGATACTGGGAGAAGGAAATGAAACTGTTCAAAAGGAAGGAATTACTGAGTTGAGGAGGACAGGAGAGAGGGTGGGGGATAGAGACGCATCTAGGTATGTAAGCAGGATGGTTGGGACAACTGTACTGTGCATTTCTGCTGGTCTGTGGAAAGGAGCAGTTGCTGCTAAATTTGTTTTGTCTTTTTTTTTCAATTCTTTGTCCTTTTTCTCTCCTGAATTTCTTATATATTTCTTTCCTTTTTCTTTCAATTTTGCATGCATAAATCTGGTAATATGCACAACTAATTGAAGATAACACTATGCATTACAACGAATACTGTGAAGTTCATATTATTTTATTTAGTGAAATTCTGTATCATTT